ATATTCCCAATCCTATTCCCCAAATATTGTTTGGCACATTATTTGAGAAATATTAATCTATTTTTTAATTATTTTTAGACCCCTTAAGTTTATTAATTTCATAAATACCCCTAGAAAAAAGTTTAAAAATTAACAAAAACACCCCCACCCACCAATACTTGCCAGATTCCGGCAACCACCACCGGTGGTAGCCAGAATCTGTCACAACGGTCTACACCACCACTGGAAATGGACGATAATTCATTGATCTGGCCTTTTCTGGCCTGATCCACAGTGGATCTGGCCGAAAAAGGCCATGTCTGATGGCCAAATCTTGGCCATCGTTGATAGACAACGACGGCCATATCTTTGGCCATCGTTGACAGCCAAAGATGGACATTTACGGCCATCGACGACCAGATCTAGCCATAGATCTGGCCTTTTCTGGCCAAATCCGTGGTGAATCTGGCCGGAAAAGGCCATATAAATGTTAAACCCGCCAGATCCGACTGGTATGTGGTGTAACGCAATTTTCCAGCCAGATTCCAGCAGTGGTGGCCGAAATCTGGCACTGCGGGTGGTGGAGGTGTTTTTGTCATTTTACACAATTTTTATATATTTGAGTGTTTAGTTAAATTAGCAAGCTTAGAGGGGTTTTTATAAATTTTTAAATTTTACCTCGTAATACTCCTCCATTCAACTATTCAATATTATTCCCAAAATCATATCCAAAATAATAAAATAAACGAACCCTAGATTATTTCTAGAGCCGATTTTACATTATAAAATGACAGATATACCCATACATATTCTTCAAACTACAAATAAACTTAAATCAATATTTAATTCATCAAATAAATAATTTTGTAATTTATTTATAAATTATAAAAAATATATAGAAATAGAGCTGGTTACTAGCACCACTGGGCACTGGCGTTGGACAATCACCATTTAACCACCACCAATTGGTGGTGGTTGTTGAAGCCACAATTGATTTTAGAGGAACAGACAACACCCGATCTATAGGAATCTAGTGATTTTGTCGTTTATTTTGGCCGTTGGAGGTGGCAAAAGATTCGATCACCTCTGTGGCCTAAACAAGTCTTGGACGCTTATGGAATCACCGAATTCTTGTAGATTGGGAGTTGTTGATCTTAATGGCACCGACTATCACTTCAACGCACCAACATTGATCAATGTTGACCACAGGTCAACGATGATCTTGTCAGCCAGACCATTATTTTGAAATATTAATTAACTAATAATTTATGAATTATTTTAATACATTTTTAAACACTCTTTAAAATAATTATAAAAATATTTTGAGAAATAATTTTTTTTTTTTTTTTTTTTTGGTCATTATACGTACAACAACAATTTCAAAATCTATTTATCAACCAAACAATAATAGATTTTAAAAATTACATCAATTACAAAAGTAGCATTCACCAAATACATTCCAAATTATTTTCAAAGTTGGTTATAATCTAAGTTGAGTTAAAGCAAACTTGCACTAATCCAAACTATCCCTAAGATGTTTATTATGCATGGTCCCCTTAAATCCTAGGAGGTTATAGAGAAGTTCACAAAATTTAATTTCTCTTTTGTCAAACTCCTTTTCCTAATTAAGACTTGAAAATCAACTAAACAAATTAATGTTGACCTTCTAACAAAGATCTATATGTACACAAAAATAAAGTGATAGTGGTGGCTGATATTGGAGGTGAGCAAAAAAATCAGGTCCACCCAAAATTGTAGGGCACTTGGCTTTTCGGTTTCGATTCCTACTAGGAATCGACATTATGCGGGTAGGTTCTGGTTCCCAAATTTAAGGAACCAGTACTATGCAGTTCTGGTTTTAGTTCCATCATCTTAAGAAACCGGAATCAACCTGAGAACTGAAACCAGAACTGGGAATAAGGTACCTGATTTGGAACCAGTTTAAGAACCGAGTCAACATGTAATTTCAGCAACTAAGTTGGGGCTATTTTGTAATTGCAGTTCAGAAAGTTAGCCCAAATGCCCAATTCCTCACTTCCTCTTAATCGAATCATACTTCTTTCTTTCTTTCTTCCTTCTTCGTCTTTCTCAGACTCGCCCTAATACCATCTAATTGTGATTGCATTCTTGTTTCTTCTAGAGGTGGTAGTGGAATTTAGTGGAGCTTGTGAGGATGCATTGGATCCACTAGGAAGGGGCTACGATGCGGCAAAAGATGGTCGTGAGGTGGGTGTGGATCCAGTGGTTTGATTTGGTTGTGAGGCGGAAATAGATCTAGTTAGATATGGTTTGGTATTCAATTATTGCTACAGCCTAGCAGATTTGTTATGGTCTGGTGGACATTGATGTGATTAACTAGATTTGCTTGAAAATGGATGTGATCATTAGATAATGCCTAAAAATTGTTGTGGTTGAGTAAATCTACTCGAATATGGTTGAGATTGATTCTTTTTGTTGTTGTTTCTGATCTATTGGATCTTCTTGGTAGTTAGTGTGAAAGTGTGGATTTGGTGGACCTTGAAGTCCTAGCAGGAACTAATGAGGAATTGGAATTAGCAAGTAAATGTTAAACATTTTTTCTCTCCGCAATTCCATTTTGTAAAGGAATGTCACGCCATGTAGATTGATGTTGAATATGCTTTTCTTTCAAAAAAATTTCCCAGATACTCAATAAAGTACTCTGTTCCATTATTAGAGAGAAGTATACTTATTTTTGCTTGAAATTGGTTTTCGACGATTTTGTAAAAAAAATTTAACAATTTTTTCACTTTAGATTTCTCACTTATCAAATAAACCTAACATAATCTAGTGTGATCATCTATACAGGTTACAAACCATTTTCTTTCAAACACAGTAGTGTCCTTTGAAAGGCGCCATACATCACTATGAATTAAATAAAATGGTTTTGAAGCACGATAGGGTTTTGAGAAATAAGTAGTAGGACAACTCTTTGATAAATGGCAACTTTCACATTGAAAAGATGAACAATCCAAATTTTTAAACAAACCAGGTGAGAAACTACCATCTACAATTTTGATTTATTTCATTACCATGGCAAGGTGAATAATTTGTAAACAGGTGAGAAAAATTGGTCATATGACCAGATGCACCTAAATCAATGATCCAAGGAGAAAAATTTGAACAACAAGATATAACACAAGGATTATTACCTGTTTGAGCCAAGGAAACACTAGGAATATCAGATGAGGAATTGGACGTTAGCAGTTTAAGAAGCTGATCCATATGCTCTTTACTGAAAAGACTCATCTCAGCTTCATTTGTACAAGGAAACCGACGGTTGGATCTATCACCAGCTCTGCTACTCTTCCAATTAGCCGGTTTTCCATGGATCTTCCAACCATTTTCTCGAGTATGGAGTGGCTTGTTGTAGTAGTCACACCACATGCAAGGTTTTTCATCCATCCTTCGTTGATTGGCAATGGTCCTGCTAGCATTTGCATTGCCATCATTCCAATGTAGAGTTCTCAATACGACCTTCAATAGCCTGTTTTCCAAGCATGACCTTCCTACGGCTCCCCTTCCTTCTAACTTCAAAAAGTACTTTGCCAATTGGAGGTAGGGGTTTTCTACCTATTATTCTCCCCCTCACTTCATCAAACTCAACATTGAGTCCAATAAGAAATTTTTAAATCTGAAATTCTCCCTCTGTTTTCTTGTTGTGGTTGCAGTCCTCTTTAGATTTCCATTCATAATCATTGAACAGGTCAAGGTCTTGCCACAGTCGAATTTCACCAAGTTTCAGAATCAGGCTATAAACTTGGGGCTGATTACCTAGATCAGAATACATCTGGTTAACGTTGTCCCAAAGTTCCTTCGCCATTGGATAACACATATAGTTAGAGTTGATGCCTTTATCCATGAAATTCACAAGCCACGTCATAACCATGAACTGTTCAATATCCCAAGTAGCATATGTCGAGTTCTCTTTTACTGGTGCCTTCTTATCTCTAGTTAGACAACCGATTTTCCCTCACCCTCGAATATACATGTGCACATACTAGAACCAACGCAGGAAGTTGTCGCCATTCAAGCGAATGGTGGTGATTTGGACAGATTATGATTTAGTGTTGGAGGCTTGGGTGGTAGTTATTTTACTTGTTTCTAGAAGAAATAACTTCAGACGAGGTGTCAAACATGGTGAACAAGGGAGACGTAGATGGAATAAGTCCCAGGTTTTTTTTTTTTTTTTTTTTTTCCAAAAAGAGTGACAGATCAAATCTCTTAGCCCTGATAGCATAAAAACATAGTAAACCAGAGAATATTTTTATGAGTGCTTTTGTATATTGAATCAAAATAATAAGTTGTACACGTTTCCTATTTATAGGGGAATACAAGGCATAAAATCAGGAACTAATTAACCTAAGTTACAGGAGTTGACTAATTTTATATTTACAGTCATAAAACACCTAGTAATATTCGAAAATCCCCTAACAATCAAATCTTCCAAATCTTCTATTTTCCAAAAAGGTTTATAAAAGAATTAAAGGTTAAAATTTAAAAAAAAAATGTAAAATACAATAGGGGGTATTTAGAATTTATAATATTAACTCTAGTAATTGTTACTACTTACTAAGGTTAAACTTGTCAAAACGGAAAAAAAAAAATTACTTAAAATTGGGGAATACTATCAATTAGATGGGGGCTTAAAATCACTTCCCTAAGAGTGGAGTTACAGTAAAACCTTTCTATAGTGATACTCTATATAAGAATAAACTCTACATAGTCATAAAAAATTATAGTCTCAATTTGGGATAGTTATAAATAAGAATAAACTCCACATTGTAATAAGTTATAATTTTTCTAATTCCCGTCTCAAGTAGGACTGTAAACGAGTCGAGCCGAGCCGAGTTTTTGGCTTATCGAGCTCGGCTCGTTTACAACAGTGTCGAGCTCGAGCCTGGCGAGCCTCAAAATTGAGAATCGAGCTCGAGCCGGCTCGATAAGGGCTCGTGAGGCTCGATAAGGCTCGATCAAACCACCATTTATTCGGGTTTGATCGAGCCAAGTTCCCCTTATTTACAGCAATCTGCCTGCGTACAACATTTCATATTTACATCCAATGTTGAATTAACCATGATAGTTTCGAACATTACAAAATGTCTATTACCATACAAAATCAAAAAACAGTTCTGAATATATACAAATAACATTCCTAGGAGTACATATACAGTCCACCAATCAAAATCACTATCCACCAGTAGTCTGCAGTAGGCCTGTCTTCGATGAAAACCACAATTTACCCCTGCCTCTAGAAAATGTTCAATTTAGTAAGTATTTTTTAAGGTAACTATGACAAGAAAAAAAATATGTATAATCATGAAACAAAAGCAAAAGGAATAAAAGTTTTACCTATGCATGCCTCCTACCACAGCCAAACCATGCACTGAATCCCAGGAACTTACGGGATAAGAAGGTTGATATCAAACGGTTGCTACTCTTCCTGAAAATGACAAAGGAGGAGTAATTGAAGTTTAGTTAGTATAAATATAAAGTAATAACTAAATTTAATAAAAACAATATTCAATATAAGTATGTAACCTACTTTACATCATTTCTTCACCCCATTCAATGTCATGCTCCAATCACATCCACATAAGAGCATCTCCACCGTGTTGGGAGCCAACGACGATCGGTACATGTCAATAACCCTACTGCCAGCGCTGAAAGCAGACTCAGAAGCAACCGTAGTAATAGGAATGGCTAATATGTCACGAGCCATGGTAGACAAGATAGGGAACTTTGTTGAATTAGCCTTCCACCAGGTCAAAGTATCAAATGTCGTAGCGTCCCCAACACATTTATGGCATCCCTCTCCCAGGTAACAGTCTAACTCTGATTTCGTTGGCTCAACCGTCTCAACCACATCCAGATACTCACTAAAATCATCTTAATCATCTGCCATCTTTGCCGCTGCCCCTGACCCCTTACCAAACTCCTGAAATGCACCCCCTGTAGATGCAGAAGCGCAGGCAGCTGTCGATGCTTTACTGGCATCAACATACTCCCTATATATCTCATACAAGGCATCTCGAACAACATCTATATTTGCCTGCAATTCAGCCTGAGGATACACCTTAAGGAACGCCTATTCAATTACCCTCATCTTCAGTCTGGGGTCCAAAATAGCAGCCACACCTATCAATAGATTACATTCTCCCCAATATTTGTCAAACTTTTTTTTCATTTTCCAAATCATGGTCTATATAAACTCATCTTCATCCCGACTCTTACTATCCAACATAATTTTTATTGTACAAACTTGTTTTAGAAACAAGTTTGATGTCGAATAATCACTCCCCGATATCAGATTTGACACAGCACTAAACACCTTCAAAATAGGACAAATTTTCTCAACTTTGTCTCAATCCTCCTCCTTGGGACAATAATGATAACTCAAATCCCTCTCCTTCAAACAAGGGAAAACACGCCTAAATTGCATTGCCGTTGTCAACATATCATATGTTGAATTCCATCGCGTTTTGCAATCAAGAATAAGCTTGCGAAATGGTAATCGGCGCTGTTGAACAATCTCTGCAAACACCTTTAGTCTACTCTCTGATGAATTGATATACGCTACGGTATCACGGATGTTCTCAATAATGTGTCTAATCTAATAAAGACCATCTTAAACAACCAGGTTCAAGATATGTGCACGACACCTCACATGAAACATCTTGCCCCCACATATGAGCTTCCCCATAGCTTGGAAATTATCTTTCAACATTGTTACTGCAACATCATTGCTTGAAGCATTATCCACCGATATCAGTGGATAATGCTTCAAGCAATGATGTTCCAGTAACAGTGTATATCGTGTGGACCTTAGCTTCAATTCCCCAGTCCATCAAACACTTGAAAATTGCATCAGCAATGGCAACACCAGAACGGGGAGGAGGGAAATGAATAAAGTTCAACACCCGTCTATTAAACTTCCAATGATCATCAATCCAATGCCCAGTCAAAACCATGTATTCCAACCTCTGGTTGCCTAAATGCCATAGATCTATGGTCAGACTCATCTTCCTATCACCCTTCAATAGGGTTAGCAACATCTGTTTCTCACTTTCAAACACTTTCATACAATCATTCTTACAAGTATTACGGGAAATCGGAGTCCATTCAGGAATCTCGTACTTCATCATGTTGTTCAACCCCTCTTCCTCTACAATAGAAAATGGATGCTCATGCATCAGCACCCAATGTGCAATAAACTCCCTCATCTTCAGCATACTGAATTGGCCCCGTAGAGCAGGCAGGACATTAGAGCCACCTTGAGAATTGGAAAGGGGGAAATTTATTTGTTGTTGCCTCAAGTGAGCTGTTCTCTTCGCACACCTTTTCAAATGTCTGTTGAATTGTGTTGTGCTTCCACTGGTAGTGATTTTTAACATTGTTTTACAATGAATGCACTCTCCCTTCCTTATACCACCAGGGAGAACCACCTCCGTAAATTCTGACCACACAACTGATGTCTTCGCTCTCTTCTTCCTCTTTAGTGGATTGTCATTCTCAACATTTTTGGGGCTACTCACACTTTTCTCGGTACCACCTGTGCTTCCATAAATGTTACGCTGATCGACTGCTCTTACCGTAACACAATCGTCGACGTCATCCAATGTAGGGGTGCTTGAGGAATTGTCTCCCGATGCCATACCTACAATTGAAAAATGAATTAACCACTATCATTAGACAATATCATAAAGTTAAATAATATATAATTCACATAATATATATTCATGTTTCCGTTGCATAACGAAAATCCCATTCAAAATTGCCTCAAAAAATTCAATCTCTATGATAGATTTAAGAGAAGTCACATTAATCGTTATCACCTGACTTTGTTTTGCTACGTTTGATCAAAATCAAATGTTCAAAGAGATACAAAATTGGGCCAAAATAGGCCTTTGGGCTTTGAATTGACAGATTAAAGACTTATCATAATGTCGTACAAAAGAAGATAAACAAAGATCATAGATTTCTCCTTCTGGTATATTTTTGTGGATGATGGGCAAAGAGATTGAAGCAGAAATTGTGATTTGTATATAAATGGGAAGTGAGGACTGAGGAGCAGTTTTTATTAGTGAAAATGATAGGCACGTGCAAGAGCAAGTGCCCAAAACTAGCGTTACATTAATTTTAAGCAAAACCCCCTCATCAAACCAAAATCAACCATCAGCAAAAATTGAAAATTCCTTACTTTACTGCTCATCTTTTAACACTCAAAATACTCTTAAACGTAACATATGCAATATCTCTCTAACTCCACACATATAGAATAATATACTTTTAACATAATAATCCAAAACGCTCATATCATATCAATTTCATTTTCATGTCCATACGTATTTTAATAAGCCAAAAAAACAAAAACACAACCAGTAACTACTGCGGCTCATACTGCTATTGCAGCAGTATAAATAACTAGCTGAGTACAAAGGAAGAAGGGGGCTGTCTTTTTATACATGCAGCCATCAGGAAACGCATCATAAAACTTTCAGGAGTCAAGCCACTAATTTAGCCAGAGGAAGAGATTTTTTTTTTTCTTCTTTTTCTTTACCATATCTAACATATGAATATCATAAATATATAACCCCACCCATTATCAAATCTCTTCTAGTATGAACATGTCTACTCGAAGGGCATCAATTTTCATTGACGCCACTCACTAATTTAACTGGAGGCTTTAATTGACTTTTTGAAGCCTTATAATCCTACAGCATGACCATCAAAGCTGCAATCTGTTTTGCAAGTCAAACCAAATCACATTTTGACTCTGATAACTGACACCATCATCCACACAAGAATGACACTTAACTCAATGACCAGATTTCAACAATTACATACAATTTTTTATCCTCAGCAACAGAGACAACACATCGTCATCCTCTCCAAACACACGACAAAGCCAACACACGATAGCTTGGAAATTCCTAATGGCAACAGTTTTAACGGCACAGAGTAAATAAAATTATGGATGGCAACGGGGCATAGCAAACAAACCTGGAAGATTCACAATGTCGGGCCTCCTTTTCTGGTTGCCGAGATCGGAGATGGCAACGGAGATTACCAATTTCAGAGTGTCTGGTTCGCGATTTGGGATTTGGGGGTCTTTGATTGTGATTTGGGATTTAGGGCAACTGGGATGGGGAACTGAAATTGACGCTCTGTTTTTGGTGTATCGTGTTATTTCAAATTTGCACTTTGGGGGAAAACTGTCATTTTTAAAAACTTTTTCACTAGAAAATATCAGTTTAATACCTAATAGTTTAAAAAATCACCAAAACACCCTGTGAAGTGTACAATGCTTAATCGAGCCGGACCAATCTCGCGAGCCCACGAGCCGAGCTTCACTGTGTTCGAACTCGACTCGGTTAACGAATCGAGTTCGAGTCGAGTTGAACCGAGCCTTATCAAGCCGAGCTCTAAACAAGCTTTTACCGGCTCGGCTCGTTTACAGTCTTAGTCTCAAGGAAAGTTGCTTCCACATAGTAATAATTATCTGTATATTACCAAAAAAATATATGTTATGTTACATTAAATGTTTAAGATGAAATAAAATATTTATCTAAAGTTATTTGGGACAATGATTTATATTTTAGAGTTATTATCGCATCTTTTACCTTGCTAGTATGTAATAACTTGCTAGCATGAACACCTTCTTGTTGAAGCCAAAATATATTTAGCTTCTCAAGCATGTTTAGAGCTTCATGGCACGAAAACTTTTGTATTTCCGTACTATCATCCTTAGGATTATATCTTTATCTTCTTGTCTAATTGTAGCAATGATTTCTTCTTCGGTTAAAGCATGCACAATTTGTTGCTCATTTGGATGATCGAGGAAGACATTAATATCCATTCGATTAGTGTAGTGAAATTGTTGAATCTAATCTCTCAATTTTGCACTGACTCTTTTATTTTCTTGTCGAATTTTATCACTCAATTTTGCAAGGACTCTTTTATTTTCCTCGTCCACTTCATTTGTAACTTGCAATTCATCGAAATCGAGGGTCCTAATTTTGCAATGCTTAAAACCATTGGCAATTGTCTGTGGCTTCACATCAATTCACCATGCATCAACTACATTTATAGTTCCATCAATGACACTTATCTTTGTTGGTTCCAAGACACGGTTTTCTATCCATTTCAAAAGTAGGCAACTGAAGCGCTGAATTGAAATCCTAATACTGTACTACTAAAACATGAATTAAAAAATAAGAAATCGAAAATATAATTTTTGTATCTACACCTCCATTAAGTTATAACCTCCTTATAGTAATAAAATTAGTTAGTCCTACCATTATGACTATAGAGAGATTTTACTGTATATATACTTCACTAATGGACTAAAGAAGCCACATTTTTTAAGACGCCCAATTTCAAAGTTTTAAAACTATAATTTTTTCTTATGGCACCCCAT